GGAAGATTCAGCATTTGAAGACAGCTTTTTTGGTTTGTTTTGTTTTAATTATGTGCATGGGGGGGGGGGTATCATGCATACGAGGCAGGTGCCCATTGAGGCCAGAAGAGGCATTGCATCCCCCTGGCTGGGACTAAGGGGACGTGGGCTGTTTGACATGAGTTTTCCACTAGTGCGGTATGAGCTCTTAACTACCAGTCCACCTCTCCAGTCTTGGTTTTATTGTTGTTGTTTGAGGCAGGGTCTCCACCATGTAGTCCTGGCTGCTCTGGAGCTTGCTGTGTAGATCAGCCTGGCTTCAAACTCACTCCTGCCTCGGCCTCTGAAACTCTAGGAAGGCACGCTTTGCTATGCCACTCCCAGAAGCCAGCCTCTTAAAGCCCCAGGCACTTGCTTCCGGCTCCCCAGCCCGGTTCCTACCCTCCTTAGACATGGATCTGTAGGGGTGGAAGTTAGTGGAGGGGAGTAAAGGGGCCTGCAGTTCTTGAGCTGGGAGACTGGAGTAGTTTATTTATTATTTACTTTTTCGTAGCCCTGGCTGTCCTGGAACTTGCTCTATAGACCACACTGGCCTTGAATTCTGAGATCTGCCTGCCTTTGCCTCCCGAGTGCTGGGATTAAAGGCGTGCGTCACCACTGCCTGGCTTAAAATATCTATCTATTTATTTATTTGTTTTATTTTATTTTTTGTTTGTTCGTTTTCGAGATAGGGTTTCTTTGTGCCTTTGGAGGCTGTCTTGGAACTCACTCTGTAGACCAGGCTGGTCTCGCACTCACAGAGATCCGCCTGCCTCTGTCTCCAGAGTGCTGGGATTAAAGGCGTGAGCCACCACCGCCCGGCCAAAATATATTTATTTTTAACTAAAAATTTTTCTTAAAGACTTATTTATTATGTATCCAGTGTTCTGCCTGCACATCAAAAGAGGAACCAGATCTCATCATAGATAATTGTGAGCTGGGAATTGAACTCACAACCTCTGGAAGAGCGGTCAGTGCTCTTAACCTCTGAGCCATCTCTCCAGCCCCTCTATTTAAAGATTTTTATGTGTATGAGGGCTGGAGAAATGCTGAGCAGTCTCTGCAGTCACTTTAGTGTTTTAAATTGACATTTATTTAGTGTGTGCGTGCATGCGCTTGCGTGTGCTCTCCAAGGTGCATTTGTGGAGGAGGCCAGAGGATACCTTTCCTCATCTGCCACCACATGGGTCCCAGGAATGAGATGCAGGTTACCAGGCTTGGCTGCAAGTGTCTGTCCCGTCACAGCACCGGATTTGCTTCGTTATTGGACAGCATGGAGCATGAACCAGAAGGAAGGTGCCAAGGGCTTAGCCCTTCACAGGCTTGGGTGAGGAAGCTCTGTCAGGCCTCTGCCTCCTCCCAGGGTGGATGTGTTTTATGAGTCGAGGCTGGAAATGGAGTCGGTCTATTACTGGGGCCTGAAACCAGGGGCTAGAACTTCATGTTTGGTTGGCAGAGGCCTCTTCACAGTCCGTTCAATCACCAGCTAGTTGTTAAGTGCTTATAGGAATGGCACTGACTCCTTGCTTTGGTGCACCTTAGCCCTCTAAGTGGGAGTCAGATGAATAACCACCATGGGGCACCCAGAGTATGTTACAGTGTGAGCGTCAGTGGGATGCAGGAGAGATAGTAACCCCATGCGGTCTGGGGTCCAGGATGGAATTTTATACAATTGACTTTAAATTTTGTTCAGTGATATGTGGATGGGGGTTCATCACGCCGCAGAGTTCATGTGGAGGTCAGGGTTTCTCTGTGTAGCTTTGGAGTCTCTCATGGAACTCGCTCTGTAGACCAGGCTGGCCTCGAACTCACAGAGATCCGCCTGCCTCTGCCTCCCGAGTGCTGGGATTAAAGGCGTGTGCCACCAGTCCAGCCTTTCTCTATCTTAACATGGGTTCTGAGGATCAAACTTGGGGTCCTCAGACTTTCTGAGGGGCAAGCACTTTACTCAAAAAGCCACCTTGCCAGGCCAGCAATAGAATTTGAAGCCAGGAGACAGGGAAGCCCATTCTTGAAAGGACCGAGCATGGAGCCCCAGAGAAGTGCATGGATGAGTGTATGCCTCTCAGGGAAGTGTGCCAGGCGGTTGAATGGCCAGGGCCGGGGCAGAGGCTCATAACAGAGGAACCAAAGTCAAGAATGCAGCAGGCAGGGACATGCAGGGGAAGGCCATTTTTAGGACTGTCCTGAACATTTGGTAAGCCAGAATGTGCACAGCCAAGAACCCAGCTTCTCTGCGAGGTCCTGGTCTTATCTCACTGTGCTGCGTGCCCAGGGCTGTCCCTGAACCTCAAGCCCAGTACTCTGTGCCCTGTGGTCCCGAGAGGGGTGAAATGTCTGGTTTGGAAAGGAGCAGGGAAAGCTGTTGTTCCTGCAAAACAGAACTGTAAAAAGCTAGTGTGGCCCCTGGCGAGCTGAGGCTTGCCTGCCTGCATCTTGTGGGTGAGTGTGGGGGAGGGGTGCCTGGGGATGCAGAGAGGTTATACCTTTGGGAGTTGAAGAGGAGGGATCTTTGAGAGGTAATGCAGAGTAACCCGAAGGCGGACCTTGGCTGCTAGGATTCAGCAGGATTTCTGCTTGAGAGCAGTCTCCCCTCCTGCCCTCGCTTCTGCACAGCTGTCTCCACTTAGCACTCAGCTCAGAGCCGTGTGGCGGACTCGCATCTTGACTTATGGGGGTTTAGGAAGGAAGAGGATCAGGCAACAGACAACTGTGTGGAGGAGCATCCTTGGGGGGCAGATCTGGGAAGGAATATTGGAGGGTCCAGCTACCCAGTACCCCTCAGGGGGCCTGAGGCGTGTGCTGGAGCTAGGGGCCCTTAAGCGTTTAAGATCAGCTATGCCTGGATATGCAGGAGAGGTTCCATACTGGGAGGGTGTGGGCCAGGGAGAAGCTACACATCCCGGAGTGGAGGCCGGGTGACAGGATGAAAAGGGGAAGCTGGGACAGTGAGCTGCAAATAGAAGTCTTGTTCCAAAGGGCATGCGATGTCCAGGAAGCAGGACGACAGTGGCTTTAGGTAGAGCCAGGTAGGTGCCCGTCTCCAGACAGGCTGACCCCTGCTTTCAAGTGAGCACTAAGGAGCCCCCATTCTCTTTCTGGAAACCCTGGAATGAATGCCTGTTGTCCTCACTGGAAAGGGTTAAATGAGCTAGCTGCCTCTCTTGGCACTAAAAGAAGAGCAGGCCCACATTTGGAAAGCTGGGCCCAGGTTGGAAGGTTTGGGGGTGGAGAAGACAGGGTGACACTGGTGCATGCTGGGTTATGTTCAGTCTTGTTGGGACCCCACTCACTGTCTGGGCTCTGGTCACAGGGCTGGCTGCCTTTGCTGAGGATTTGTGGCCAGAGTGGTCAAGGCGTCAAGAGAAGTCAGGAATGTGGGCCTGTAATACAAAATCTGCCAATTGGGAATCAACCGACAAAAATGAAGCCAAGAAGTACCATGCAGGCCCAAGCTCAACCCACCATCTGGCTGATGTCCCTGCCTGGGCAAAGGCGGCACACAGAGCCAGGGCTCAGTGCACCATCACAGGTGCCTGCCTTCTGGAGGCCGCTCCTCCACTCCCCCCCTCCGGTCAGCATCCCCAGGACCTCCAGAAGAACTCGGCCATCTCGCTGGGCTGTGTGGGCCTCGGCACACCCCTGGCCCTCTCTGGACCACAGTATTGTGTTCTGTGAAGACACCTGGTCTGTTGGGCTCCCAGCAATTTGGGGGGAGCATCTGGTTAAGTCCCTCGGCCTTGGGGGAAGACGGCAGTTATTATGAAGTGACTCTTTCAGAGATGTGCTTCCGGGGTGGGGTGAGGTGTTCAGAGGGACTGAGTCCACAGTCACAGTTGTATGTGAGAGAATGTGTGTGTGTCATAATTTGGAGCTTTGCATGGCTCAGTGTAAATAGCATTTTAATAGCCTTGTGTTGGGACCTTTCATGGCTGTGCTGGAAGCTGGTGGGAAGCCTTCATTAACTCTCCTGTGACCTGAGGAGTGTATGGTCCTTCTTCCTCGTTTGCTGTTAAGGAAACCCAGGCCTGGTCTGGAGGATGACATGGCTGAATGAGCACCTCTGGGCCCCCTGACTCACGTGTGAGGTTTGGTGGGGGCAGGGGACTCAATGGGTGACACTACTTTGGATCTGAGGGTCTGCCACAGTGGAGCTGAGTGGCAAGGAGCAAAGAAAAGCCCGAGTTTTCTTTGGCTACCTCTCTGGTCCTTGTCCACGCCCCTCCATCCCTATCCCCAAAGCGCCTGGCCAGTGTTCTTCCCCCACCTCCAGGCGACCTAGCCCCAAATCTCCTTTTCAGCACCAGGCGTGTTAGCCAGTCCTCCCGGGAGTCCGCAGCGTTGGCTGGAGATAGGACAAGAAGGCCGGAGTGTAGGAAATCCGAGTTTTGTGTTCCTCCTTATCCAGGGTGGCAGTGTCAGCGCGCGCTCCCGGGGGCTGCGGGCCCTTTAAATCCTCCGGGGCGGCGGCAGCGGGCGGGGGATGACATCAGCGGGCGGGCCCGGGGCTCAATGGGAGCCGCGGGGACGCGCGCGCGGGCCGGGAGCGCGCGAGCCGGCGGCGGGGGCGGGAGGCGGCGGCGGTGGAGCGCGGAGCCTGAGCCCGGCCGGGCCGAGCGCAGCGCAGCGGGCCGGGGAGAGGCTGGCGCGCCCGCGGCCCCGCGAATCCTCTGGCATCCGCCCCGGCGGGCTGCCCCGGCGCGGTGAGCATCGGGGGCCGGGGAAGCGGGGCTCCCTCCGCCTCTTTGTGTTTTCTTTTTGCGCGAGCGCGGGGCGGACACGCGCGTCCGCACTGGGCTGGGGGCGCCGCCCGTGAGGACAAAGGCGCGGCCGGGGACGCGGAGGGGACGTGCGCTTTGCAGGCCGCCGGCTGCACCGAGGCGGCCTCGGGCTGGGGCGGCGGGGGACCTGCGACAGGGGCCTGGCCGAGATCTTGGGGGCGCGTGGGTTTCGGGCCGGCCACGGCCCCTCCTCTGTGCCTTGGACTCCGGGTCAGCGAGGTCGTTTGCGTGTAGGGTGGGGGCTCCGGGGGTTCTAAGTGATGGGGTGCGTGGTCACCCTGGCCACCGGCTTTGTTTTCCTTTGTGGCAAGAAGAAGGGAGGGGATTATTTATCGCCTGGATTCTCATTGCGGTGTGAGACTGCCTTGTGCCGCACGCCTCTGGGAAGCTGGGTGCCTGGGTAGAGCCAGGGCTCCGACTTAGGCCTGCCCCCTCCCCCTACTTTGCCCAGAGTTTTCCCACATATTTTCTTGGCATAACCTTCTCCTAGGAAGGGGGTTTTTGGAGAGAAAGGGGTACAGTTCCGACGAATACTTGTGTTTGGGACGCCTTTCCTAGGTTTAGGGTATTCCTTCAGTTTTTATTTTACTGGTTCATTAACCAGGGGCTCTGGGGAAGGTGGGTGGTGTGTAGGGGGCACTGCCAATGTGCCCGGCTGGTTGTAGTTTGTAATTTTTCTAACCGGCTGAGAAGTCTTGACTCCTATGGCCACCTTTTTTTTTTTTAACTTTGTTTACTGTCCCCCCCACCCCTCCCATAGGAGAGAGGGAGTGAAGAATTGAAAAGCTAACTTGATTGCCTGAAGAAGCCCCCAAAGTTCTTTTTGGGTGGGGGGCTTTTAAGTGGAAGAGGGTTGGAACAGGCAAGACTCTAAGGCTCTGGGTCTCCAGGGTGGGCAGACCCTGGCGTTGGTGGGGTCCTGCAGGGTTGATGTTTGTAGCCCTCTTCCCTTCTGTGTAGACGGTGGAGAGGGGCTTGGGGGTCATGTGCAGCGTATTTATGTAAGACACCCAGACAGAGGGCACTGGTATTTATATAACCTGGCGTGGGTATTTATGTAATATAGGATGCAGTATATTTATGCTCCTTTCCTAACCTGTGGCTTTCCCCGCTGCCATGTGTGGTCTCTGAGTTGGCGTTGGTGGAAACCCGGCTGGGGGTGGTGTTTGTGAGTACACACCCAGTCCCCCCCTTTCCCGTAGGGATCACGAGTGTGAGCCTCTGCTCCTGTCTTCCCTTGGCGGGTGCACTTAGAAAACTGGACCGTATGTGAACCTGTGGTGCCGGGCTGGTGGGTTTTCTGAAGATGTGCAGCTGTGCTGTTGGCAACCAGGGCAACTCAGCTGAGTCCAGGCCAGCCATGTGGGCAAAGGGCCTTGATGGAGAGCCCAGAGTTTGGCTGGCACCCAGTGGCAGCTACTTCCTTGTGGCTGGTGGAAGGACTGTGGTGACTCTCTGGGAACTAGTATGAGGCTGGGGTGTCACTCCTGGCTTGAACCTTTTGACTCTTAGGCTGATCAAGGAGCCCTGATGAATCTCTCTCAGCTTCCTTACAGGCCTGGCAGCTGGGGGTAGGCTTGGCACATGGAAGGGGCAGACCCCCCAAGCAAACCAGCACAGTTACTGTCTCACCTCCTGGTTTTACTTCTCAAGTTTGGAGTGAAATAAGTTCTGGGGAGGAGGCCGCCAGGTGGGCTAGCCTGACCCCTGTTTGCTCCTAGGTGAGGCTCTGCCCATGACTTGTTGGGTGGTAGCCAGACCGCTCCAGGCTGGTCCATCTGCAAAAGGAGTCTACTTTACCCTTCCCTGGCTTCCCATCTTCTGGCATCCCAGACTGCGCCCAGTCCTCGAGTCTTCTTTTCTTCTGGCCTGGAACACGGGGACCCAGACATCTACCGGGCCAGTACAGAGGTTCTTGTTATCCACGAACTTGAGGCATCAGGAAGGAGGGGGTCTGCTCAGATCAGCCCCGCAGGGACTAGTGACTTCAAATCTGCTGTGCCAGGGACCTCTCCCAGGAGACCCTCTCTCCTTGTCTTCAAAGAAGCTTGCGTAGGAATCCACCCAAAGAGATGTGTGCAGAGAAGTCTAGAAACGGTTCTCTACATCCCAAATAGAACCTGGGAGGCATTATGAGGGACCTTGCCTTCCCTTTCTGAGTAGGGATCAAACCCTCTTGTGTGGGCCTACTGGAACAGTCCAGCCTAGCCCTGGGTGAGCCTAGCGGCCCAGGGGCAGGGATAGAGGTGGGTACCCTGTGCCCTCAGGAGTCTCAGTGCTGTGGAACTCTGTGGGGCCTTTCCCTTCTCACCCTTGGAAGTTGGAACTTGCTGGTGGTGGCTTTGGTAGTTTCCAGGACGGTCTGCTCCCATGGACCCTGCTCCTCTGGGGCCCAGGACTTCCCTGAGGTCCTTTTGGTGCCTCTAGAGTGCTTGCAGATAAAGCACTTTGGAGAAGACTTGGCCTTCGTCTGCTAGGGTTGGTGGAGATTCACTGCTGAATCCAAGACACAGGACTTGGGTCTCCTGCCTCTTCCCTGTATCCCTTTGTCCTTGATCAAGCTCCTTTAGCCCGTGGTAACCAGCCTCCCCCTGAGGGGGCTCACACCGGAGGGGCTGCTTTTCTTTCTCCTCCTGGGCCTTGGCTCTGATACCACCTTTTCTGAACTACGTGAAGCCTGTCCTAAGCCTGCCTCAGCCCTGCCCAGGTGTGTGGGCATGAGGGCTACCTGACACCTGGCTGCCCTTGAGCAGAGTGAAGCCAGCTCTCTTCCCAGACAGTGGGAGGGAGGAGGCCAGCCTCTGGTGGGGGAAGGGTCTAGGCCCTGGGGTGCTTGAGGTCCCATCTCTGACCTGTTTCTGCTTCTCCTGCAACAAGGGTGAAGCATGGAGCTGCGTGTGGGGAATAAGTACCGCCTGGGCCGAAAGATCGGCAGTGGGTCCTTTGGAGACATCTACTTGGGTAAGTCACTGGGCCTCTAGCTATGTTTGGCCCTTAGCAGCTCTGGAGGTGGGGAGGAGGAGGACAGTCTGGGATTTGGGGATCTGGGGACAGAACTTTTCTCTGGTTGTGTCGCATGGCTGGGAAGCCTCCAGGGCCATCCTAGATCCACAAGGAGGCCCAGGTAGTGGGGGGGGGGGGGGCGGGTGTGCCTCCCACAGCGGGGCTGCAATGGCAGAGGATCTGTATTTAGCAGATTTCCAGCTGCAGCTGACCTGGGTCTCCACTGGGCATGGGGAAGCCCTGGCTGGATAGGCATCCCTACCACTTGGGTCCTGGCAGAAGGATACTGGTAGATGGAGACAGCATCTACTATCATGAACCTCTGGGAAGGCTCCCAGGAAGTACGGGCCCCTCCCTTAGATGTGGCTTTCTGGAGTGCAGCCTGGGGCTGCTTTGGGATGACACAGGGAGGGTCTCATCCCTCTGGGAGCGCCCTGTCTCCTGGATGTGTTTCCTTTTTTGAAATCCGAGTTTGCGCTAATGTCTTTTTAAGCAGATTGCTGACATCTCAGCCCCTCGTGTTGCTTTCCTAGCCCCGCCCTGTGCCATTTTGAGTCTTCTTGTTCTGAGGAGAGAGTTTGCTTGGTGGCTGCGGAACTGGAGTTGGGAGTCTTGGAGTTGCCGGAGTGAGATGGCAGGCCTTCTAGGCCATCCTTGGTGCTGCCCCTGTGCCCTCAGGAGTAGGACCCAGCTGCCTCGTGTTTTCCTTCTTAGAGAATGAAAGTCCTGGGCAGAGAGAATGCACAAGTCAGGACACTGTGGTCATTAATTAGTTACTGTAGGGGACAGAGTCCCTGACCCTTTGAGTATGAGCCTCAGAAGCAATGGGCTCTTACCTGCAGGCCCCTTTCTAAACAATGTCACCCTCAAGGCAGCCCAGGACTTCTGACAGCAGAAGGTGCAGCGTGGCTAAGTTGACCGCCGGGAATTGCTACAGAAAACTAGCTGGGGGCTCTAGTGAGTGCAGGGGTGGAAGAAGACAGAATGGGAAACAGACATACCTGGATCCTCGACCTTATCTTATGCAGCTGCCCCAGGACCTCGGTGTCCCCATCTGTGTCCCCAGGTTAACAGGCACTGTTGTCGAACACACGTAAAACAACCATGAAGTACAGTTTCATGCCTAGCATCAGGTAGCTCACCACGCCCTGTGAACAGCTTGGTGTTTCTCCGTGGGGTATGGTGGGGCGTGATGGGGCGTGGTGGGGTGTGGTGGGGTGTGCCTGTAGAACCAGGCACTCTAGGGGCTGAAGCAGGAAGATTGCTTGAACCTGGGAGACAATGGCCAAGCCATAGCAATGTAGTGAGATAACTCTGCTCAAAAAATAAGTCACAGGAGATCAAGATGCTTCTGGTTCCTCATTCCTGTCTGGAGGAGCTGCTGTGAGCTGGTGTCTGCTCTGCCACCGCACTCCAGTGCCCAGTACATGACCTGTCCACAGAGGATATCCGGGAAGGTGGAGAGAAGCAGAGGGCGAGGCAGGGGTCTTAGCCTGTGAAAGCCTTGCTGGAGTAGGCTAGGAGAGAGAAGGGATTGGGAACTGGGCAGGCTAGGTTCCTGTTTTTAGTGATTCTCATTTACTGTGTGACCAGGGCTGTCCCTTTCTCTAGACCTGGCCTAAGTGTGAGGACCCCGACTGTGTGAGTGCCTGTGTGTGAGAGTGTGTGCATGTGTGAGTGTGTGCATGTGTGAGTGTGTGCATGTGTGAGTGTGTGCATGTGTGAGTGTGTGCATGTGTGAGTGTGTGCATGTGTGAGTGTGTGAGTGTGTGAGTGTGTGCGTGTGTGCGTGTGTGAGTGTGTGAGTGTGTGAGTGTGTGCATGTGTGTGCTGCTCTGATACACAGCCTGGTGCCTGCTGTTAGACAATGCCCTGCCCTGACCCCTCTTCAGCAGAAGGGATGTGGAAACTTGTGGATGGAGAGGTGCCGCCCAAGGTCACTCAGAAAGGCCTCTGTCCCTGCTTCCTGTGGTCTACCTCCCTGGGGGCAGGACTTCCTGTTTATCTGCGGTGTTTTATGCTAACTGCCAGGTCCAGATTTACTCCTGTTTGTGTTTGCTCTGGAATAAATTGACCCTTGGTCTTTCCTTTGGCCAGCTGTAAACTCTGGTTCCCTGCTAGTCGTGACTCCCCATCTGAGATGGAATTGTGAGATACGCGTGAGCCCCCTGCCTGTGCTGGCATGGGTACTGGTGCCTTTATGCTGCCCCCACCTTCTGCTCTGAGGATCTAAGTCCTGTGGGGGGTCTAAGGGGAGGGGAGCCCTCCCTCTGTCCAGCACTGACTGGGTGCATGGTGTGTGTGAGCACCTCTGTGTGACGAGCGCCTTCCTGCACCCTGTCTTGCCTGTGTGGGAGCAGTGGCGACTGAAGGGCCTCTTTGACTGGCCGTGCTGGCACCCTTTGTCCACAGTGCTGGCCACATTCTCACCAGGGTGTTGGGCCAGGGCCTGACTCCAGTAGGCCTCTACAGGTGGGGCCGGGCTAGGCTTCCACATCTAGCTTTCCAGGATTGCCCTCGAGGAAGTCTTGGGATAAGAGCGTTGTGAAATGCTTGTGAGGCCCTGGACCCTCCTTCATCCATAGTCTCTTCCCCCTTTAGGGTCTAAGGTCAGCTGTGCATCCTGGGAGAACTCTCCAGATCTCTTAAAAGGTGGGGCAGACCTCTGTGCCTCAACGCTGTAAGGGGTTGGGCTGTAGGGCTGAGTCTCACTGTGTTCTGGCTGGCCTTGGATTCAGAGACCTGACAGCCTCTGCCTCCTGTTGGGGGGGTTAAGCATGCATGCCACCATGCCCAGCCTTCAGCCTTTCGACGTGGATTTGAGTTGCTGCTGCTGCTGTTGGTTCTGGGGCAAATGGACTCTGTGGGCCCCTCCCCCAGTCTTTGTATCTGTGTAGGTAGGTGGCCATAGAGAGCTAAAGCGGAAGCTCATCACCCCCTGCCTGCAGCTTCTTTCTAGGTTTCTGGTCCTTCTGGACCTAACCTGACTCACACCTTCTGGATGTCCAAGATTGATTTGGGGACCAGTGGGTTCCTCCATTTTGTTGCTGTATGGAACTGTGGGTCAGGAGTCAGGCCCTTTGCATATGTAGCCCCTCAGCAGGTGCCCATACCAGCCATCTTGCCTCTGCGGTTGCCCTGGGCTCTGTACAGCCCTCCCACAGAAGATGAACTGAGCGTCAGGACAGCCCCACTGCCAGCAGCTCCCCGTGAACCAGTGTGCTTGGGAACAGGAGTGCACAGAGAAGCAGAGGCCCTGGGAGAAATTTGAAATCCTGGCTCTGCTCCAGCCAATTCTGCCTGGCCTAGGCCAGACACTTAGCCTCTCTGAACCGCAGCTCAGTGGTTGGCAGGATTAAGGGAAGTCAGAGAAAAGACTGGCTGCCTCCTGATGGGAATGGACTGCCAAAGGCCTGGCAGCAGGGACGGAGCCGGGGCCACCATTCCAGGGTCAGGAGGCCAGGCCGTGAGGGGGGGTGCCACCGAGGGGAGAGTGCAGGCGGGGGAGGGGAGCCATCAGGAGGCTTTGCCTAGCAGCTTAGGTCCCAGGTCCTTGGCCTGAGAAGTTGGGTGGCAACCTTTGTGTTGAGTTTTCCCTCTGTCAAACAGAGACAGCAGCAGCACTGGCAGGGTGGAGTTCAAAGGGATGGTGAGCCCCTGCCTCTGCTCCCTGTGTATCTGCTGAGTCACCAGTGCTTGTAGGGATCATCTCTGCCCTCCGCCTGGGTATGGTCACTCTGCTGTGACCTCCCAGACCTCCCTTCCCTCCTCAAGTCCCCTCTATCCCTTTCTTATACACTGGTCATTCTTGGTGAGAGGTGACTTGCCGCTTGGAAGGCATTTGGCAAATCCTGAAGACATTTCTGGTTGTTACAACACGGGGCGGGGGAGGGGGTAACGGTGGCTTCTGGTGGGTAGCAGTCGAGGATATTGCCAAACCCCTGACAGGGCAGCAAGAGTTGTGTGACCGCAGACGTCAGGGCTGTTGAGATTGGGAATGCTCACATGTCCATACTGGCTGGGACCCTCAGTTGGGTGGCCAGGGTCGGAGCCCCTCATGTCTGAACCCTTTGTTCTCACAAACCCCTCAGCTTCACCCTTCCCAGCAAGCCTTTGCATGTTCTATGACCCTGGTGTGTCTGACAAATCCCTGTCCCAAGTGCTCAGTGACAGCCTCTTCTCTAGGGAGGCCTCCAGAGCACGTTTCCTCTCTCCCTCCACTCCGTGTGGGGAGTTGTTGCCCCAGCCACCCCACTTCATCCCATCTCTGGCTGGGATGGGCTGGTCCTCATCAGCCCTCACTGTGGAGAGCTTGCTGTACACTGGGGCTCTGCTGAGCTCCTCTGTGTCCTAGACAGCCCAGCAAACGAAGTTTGGCTGGCAGTTTGCAGGAGAGCTACCTGGGCTCAGAAGTAGGAGATCTGAGCCATCTCTCCAGCTGTGTTAGAAAATACGGTGCAGAGTAATTGAGGAAAACTCCCAACACCAACCTCTGGCTTCTGCATGGATGTATGCGTAAGTGCATGTATACACAGTAACGGTGATGGTGGTGGTCACGTGGTCGGTGGGTAACAGGACCAGGACCTAAGATCCAATCCAGCAGCTTGGCTCTATAGCAGACAGGCTTTTGGTATGAAGCCCAGGCTGGTTTCAAACTCACCATCTCCCGTCTCAGCCTCCCAAGTGCTGGGATTACAAGTATGTGCCATCACACTCACAATTCCTATGTTCTTCTGCTGTTGATGCCCATGGCAAGACAGGGTACGCACAGCACTCCAGCTCATCCCAGGTCCCTTTTTGTGCCATAACCTTATGGCCCCCCGAAAACTGTGGGCTCTATGAAATGATTTTTTTTTTTTGGTTTTACGAGACAGGGTTTCTCTGTTTTGGAGGCTGTCGGTCCAGCCTGGCCTCGAACTCACAGAGATCCGCCTGCCTCTGCCTCCCGAGTGCTGGGATTAAAGGCGTGCGCCACCAACGCCCGGCCTATGAAATGATTATTGCTGTGGAACCATAAGTACTTTATGGGGGCCGGGTGGTCGGGGCATAAGCCATTAGTCCCAGCACTTGGGAGGCAGAGGCAGGTGGATCTCTGTGAGTTAAGTCCAACCTGGTCTACAGAGCGAGTCCCAGGACAGGCTCTAAAACAATACAGAGAAACCCTGTCTCAAATAAACCAAACCAAGCAAAAAAGTACTTTAGGGGGTTCTGTTGCATCAGAACCTGAGCAACACTGTCCCCTGTTTACACACAGTTAAAAAAAAAAAGCCAGGTGGTCACCACACACCTTCAATCCCAGCACTGGGGGTGCTGAGGTGGAGAGATGGGATCAGCCAGTCTAACTAATTGGACAAGCTCCAAGTTCAGTGAGACACCCTGGAGGGTTATTTATTTTTGTTGTGTGTATGGGTGTCTGTGCACTCTGTGTTGCAGTGCTTGAGGAGGCCACAGAGGGCGCCAGATCCCCATGGCTGTGAGCTGCAGTGTGGGTGCTGGAAACCCAACCAGCACCTTCTGGAAGAGCAGCAGTGCACTTCCCTGCTGAGCTGCCTCTCCAGCTCCCTGTCCTGAAAACAATAAGGTGGAGAGGGATTGAGGAAAACTCCCAACACCAGCCTCGGGCTTCCACACAGATGTATACATGCAACACGCTCACAAATAGTAATAATAGTAATGATATAATTACAATAATGATAAGTTTAATTTCTTTAAAAGTAGTTTGCAAGCCAGTTTCCAGTTGCTCCCTGGATTTAGTCATCTAATCTGTTTCTCTTTTATGTAGTTCAGAAGTCAAAGTACATATGCAAAAATTGGAATAATGTGTTAAATGAAAGGAAGCAGAAGACCACATAGTGGGTGCTTTCATTTCATTGAAATGCCCAGAATAAGCAAGTCGGAGAGCAGAAATCAGACAACTGGTCCCTAGGGGCTCCGGGAAGGAAATGGGGGGAGGGTCACGATTACTAGAAGGCATAGGCGTTTGAGGCAGTGTTGGACATTTTCTCAGATTGGCTGTGCAATGGGCTGTACGACCCTGTGGGCATCTAAATAGCTTCACAGCGCCCGTGACTGTATCCCACAGTCTGCAATGCATAGTAAGGTGTCTGTGAAGTGCCCCCTCCCCATCAGCCATTGTTTCTTCATGTGACTGCAGCCCAGCACAGATGCTTCCCTGTCTGAAGGAGCACAGAGTCGTGGTCTGGGCTTTGCCTTTTCACTTCCTGTATCTTGGAGACCTTGCACTGTTCCGTGGCGTGAGCTTCCTCTCTCACTCACCATTGTGTTCTGTTATGGATCGGCTGTTCTTTATTTAGCCAGTCCTGAAAGACGGACGTGTGGGTGGCTTCCAAGCTTTTGCTTATTGCAAACAGTGGACAGCCTTGGCCAGGCTCTTTACACCATACAAGGATGCTGCCTGATGGGGCTGCAGAGAGGCTCTGTAGTTGTGTACGCACTGGATGGGCGCTGCGGAGGCAGGGGTAGGTGAATCCAAGCCAGGCAAACTATATTGTGAGACCTGCCTTTAAAAAGGGAAGTGACCCTGTAAGCCTCTAATGCCAGCACTCAGGAGGCAAAGGTAAGCAGATCTCTCAGTTCAAGGCCAGCCTGGTCTACAGAGTGAGTTCCAGGACAGCCAGGGCTACACAAAAAAAACCTTGTATGGAAAAAAGAAAAGCAATGGCCGGGCGGTGGTGGCGCACGCCTTTAATCCCAGCACTCGGGAGGCAGAGGCAGGCGGATCTCTGTGAGTTCGAGGCCAGGCTGGACCGATAGCCTCCAAAACAATACAGAGAAACCCTGTCTCGTAAAAACCAAAAAAAAAAAAAGCAATGAATGAAGAAGGAAGGAAGGAAAAGGAAAAGTAAGAATTCATGCTATTCTTGCAGAGCACACGAGTTTGTCTCTCGGCCCCCAGCACCCATAGTAGGTGTCTCACAACTGCCTGGAATCCCAGCCTCAGGGAAATCTACTGTGATGCCCTGGCCTCTGTGTGCACCTGTGCTAAGTCCCTGTGCCACCTCTCCCCACGCACATACATAGAGCTTAAAAAAATTGTTTCTGAGACAGAGTCTTCCTATGTAACTTTGCCGGCCTGGAGCTTGCTATGTAGACCAAGCTGGCCTCAAAACTCACAGAGATCCTCCTGCCTCTGCCTCGGAGAGTGCTGGGGTTGAAGGTGTGCACCACCACAGCTGGCAGAAATTAAAATCTTTAAGAAAAAAACAAAACTGAAGGAATGTCAGCCAACCTCCCAAATTAGAGGTGCTGGTCACAGCTAGGCCACGGAAAGTCGCCTTCCGGCTGTTCAGGGAGGAGAATCCAGTGGTCTGTGAGCAGTGTCAGCATTGTGGGACCTGTAGCTGTCCTTTGTGCTTACGCTGCACTCGTCCCCAGGGCACTGTCAGCTCCTGTCCTCCATCCCATTTCCCCTTGGGTCTCTCCTGCCCACTAGCAGTGTGCTGTGATAAGAATTGTGTTCTTTGATTCTGGATGTTTTTGAAAGAGAGGGACATTTGGCATTTCTCCTTACCTTTGTTTGCGTGTGTGTAAGCTTGTGTGCGTGGAGGTCAGGTTCTGGGGATTGAACTCTGATCATCAGGCTTGGCAGCAATCACCTTTACCTCCTGAGCCATCTTGCTATCCCTTGAGAAATTCCCCCCCCCACCCACACACACAATACCTTTCTCTTTGAGAAAAGTTTTAACATAGGTGTTTGGTTTTTGTTGTTGTTGTTGGTTTTCTTTTTCTTTTTTCTTTTCTTTTTTGGTTTTTTGAGACAGGGTTTCCCTGTATTGTTTTGAAGGCTGTCCTGGAACTCGCTCTGTAGACCAGGCTGGTTTAGAACTCACAGAGATCAGCCTGCCTCTGCCTCCCGAGTGCTGGGATTAAGGGTGATCCATCCTCTCCCTCCCTCCTTTCCAGACATGACCTCACTCTGTAGCCTAGACTAGAAATCATTATGTAGTCCAGGCTGACCTTGAACTCAGGGAGTGCTGTTGCTTCATTTTCCTCAGCATTGGGATTACAGGTGTGGGCCACCACGTCCAGGTTGAGCCACAGCTTCTGACTGAGAGCTAGGCCTGGGAGTGTGTAACTCCCGAGGCAGAACTTCTTGCTGCCGGCTGTGAGAAGCCAGGAGCGGGTAGGTAGAGGTAGTGATACAGACTGGACTGTCACGCCTAGACTCAGAAGCCAGGGGAACCAGGCTCACTCTCCATTTCTCCGTCTAGCCACATGGCCTTGGCCAAGCCTGTTTCTCGTCTATGCAATTGGGTTGGGAACCCGATGAGAGAAGGTGCTGGGGTCCAGGGTGGGGTTCGCCTTTGATGTAGAGTGAGTTTTAGTTATTAGGCACATGCATTCCTTACTGAACCACCTTCTACTAAGAGTTGTCGTGGGACGTCCCTGGCCCGGACTGTCCCCACTGGGCTCCTGGCCCCTCTTCTGTGACCCTTCAGACCCAACACACCTGCTGCCTATGTCTAAGATCAACATCTGTTCCCTAGTGATTTACAAGCTCTTGTGTGTCTTTGTCATCCAGCCCCTGACCCCTCCCCGCAGGTGTCAGTCTGTCTGGATACACCTGACCTGCGGCATCTAAGCAGCCTCGGGTGTGTCCCCTCCTTCCCTTCTGTGTACGTGCCATGTGCTGCTGAGGAGGCCTCTCCAGCACCCTGTGGTCCGCCTCCCACATGCTCCCTGGTCCCTCTGTGACCTGGCTGCTTCTCAGCCTCACGGAGTGCCGCTGATGCCCAGGCAGCCTCAGGCCTGAGTCGCGGCAACCTCAAATGGGTAAGGACCACGTGGTCGCTTGAAACTGACCCCGGTCCCTTTGCCTCCTCTGGCTCTGGTAGGTGCCAACATTGCCTCTGGTGAGGAAGTAGCCATCAAACTCGAATGTGTGAAAACAAAGCACCCGCAGCTCCACATAGAGAGCAAGTTCTACAAGATGATGCAAGGAGGAGGTAGGCCGGCCGCGGTGGGCGGGGCGGGGTGGGGTAGGCTGGGGGATGGTACCGAAGATGGCTGCTGGCGGTCCTGGTGCCGAGCAGGGAGAAGGGGGGACATGGGTGGGGAGTGACCCTGACCAAGCCTCTTTTCCTTGGGCGCAGTGGGGATCCCGTCCATCAAGTGGTGCGGGGCTGAGGGTGACTACAATGTGATGGTCATGGAGCTGCTGGGGCCCAGTCTCGAGGACCTCTTCAACTTCTGTTCCCGAAAGTTCAGCCTCAAGACAGTGCTGCTGCTGGCCGACCAGATGGTGAGTCTCCACCCCTCCAGCTGTCCAGATGGCTCTCCTGCTGTGCGAGCCACTGGCTCCCGACCATTGTGTCTGTGGGGCCTACATGCCAGCCCTGCGTCCCACCTCCTGAGGTGGAACCCTGGGGGTGCCTTGTTAGTAATATGTAGGTTCCAGGCTCAACCCCAAACCTGATGTGTTAATTCTCTGATACTGTGGTAAACACACCCAATCCTGGAGGCAGTGGCACACACCTTTAATCCCAGCCACTCGGGAGATGGAGGCCAGCCTGGTCTGCAGAACAAGTTTCAGGACAGCCAGGGCTACACAGAGAAACCCTGTCTTCACAAACAAAAACGTGACCAAAAGCAACTTGTGGAAGGAAGGATTGATTGGGGCGGGCTTATGGGCCCAGAGATGGAGTCCATCGTGGTCAGGAAGACATTCCTCATTAAACTGCCATCCGTGCTGAGTCACCCTCCTGGAAGGCCTTGGCCGCAGCCCTGCACGGTTGTCAAGCTCTGCCCCAGGGCCTCACCTGAGGCTTCAGCCGCCTGGTTTTCCCTTTGCCAGGTTGTCACGGGGGTTAGTGGGGTGCTGAGGGCAGAGTAGGCGTCAGGTCCTGCCGCCCTTGGTGGTGCACAGAGGAAAGCCCCGTCAGAGGTAAGACCAGGCCACTCTCCCTGTGTGTCCACCCTGTCTTAGTTAGGGTTACTATCTGTGATGATCAAAGACAAGCTGGGGGTGGGGGGCATTCATTCGGTTTACATATCCTGAGTCAGTCCACTGAAGGAAGCCATGGCGAGAACTCAAACCTGGCGGGATCCTGAATGCAGGGGCTGATGCAGAGGCCATGGAGGGTGCTGCTTACTGGCTTGTTCTCCGTGGCCTGCTCAGCATGCTTTCTTGTAAAACCCAGGACCACCAACCCAGGGATGACACCACCCACAATGGGCTGGGCCTTCCCCCCATCAATCACTAATTAAGAAAATGCCCTACATGCCTGCATACAACTTTGTGGACGCATTTTCTCAATGGAGGCTCTCTCCTCTCCGATGACTTTAGCTTGTGTCAAGCTGACATAAACTAGCCAGCACAACCCCCTCTCCGTTAGGACCCTATTTCTGTTAGGACCCTACTTAAATTTGTGTTAAAACTGCTTCTGAGCCGGGCGTTGGTGGCGCACGCCTTTAATCCCAGCACTCGGGAGGCAGAGGCAGGCGGATCTCTGTGAGTTCGAGACCAGCCTGGACTACCAAGCGAGTTCCAGGACAGCCTCCAAAGCCACAGAGAAACCCTGTCTCGAAAAACCAAAAAAAAAAACCAAAAAAAAAAAAACTGCTTCTGTGTGTGTATGTGTGTGTGTGTGTGTGTGTGTGTGTGTGTGTGTGTGTGGGCACACGTGCACTTGTGTGTATGTGCTCATACATACATGGCAGTACTTGCATGTAAAGGGATGGGGTGCAAAGTTTGACACTGGAGATCTTTAGTTGCTTCTCACTTTATTTTTAAGATGTATTTAAAAAGCTGGGTGTGGGCTGGGCAGTGGTGTTGCCTGCCTTTAATCCCAGCACTCAGGAAGCAGAGGCAGGTGGATCTCTGAGTTCAAGGCCAGCTGGTCTACAGAGTGAGTTCCAGGACAGCCAGGGTTACACAGAGAAACCCTGTCTTGAGGAGCCAAAAAAAGTTATTTTAATTGCGTATACGTGTGCATGTCTGTGTTGGTGCTTGCTGAGGCCAGAGGTGTCAGATCTCCTAGAGCTAAAGTTACAGGCAGTTGTGAGCTAACCGATATGGAACTGAGCTCGGGTTGTCTGGAAGAGTGATGTGTGCTCTTAACTGCTGAGCCATCTCTCCGGCCCCATAAAACCTCATGCCTGTAATCCCAACACTCGGGAGACTGAGGCAGGAGAATTACAGGAAGGTCGAGGCCAGTCGACTACAGTGTAAAACCCACCTAAAAAAACAACAAAGAAAATCCAGATCTGGACTTGGAGTGTAATGGATCATTGTCAGAAACCCCAGTGCTCAAGAGGCTGAGGCTGGAGGATTGCCAGGAGTTTGGAGTCAGCCTGTGACGCATACTAACACTGCCTGTCAACATGTTTTTGTAAGCTCCTTCGAAGTCCATCCTCACTGCTCGGAGGAGCGTGGCCAATCCCTTGAAACCATGCTTCTTCCTGAGGCTAGATCTTTCTCCCTGGCCAGGGCAAGGGGCCTCGTGTACACTTTCCATGTCCGTATGGAGTGACCTGCTGTCTCCTCCCCTCCCCCAGATCAGCCGCATCGAGTACATCCACTCCAAGAACTTCATCCACCGGGACGTGAAACCGGATAACTTTCTCATGGGCTTGGGGAAGAAAGGCAACCTGGTCTACATCATTGACTTCGGCCTGGCCAAGAAGTACCGTGATGCCCGCACCCACCAGCATATCCCCTACCGGGAAAACAAGAACCTGACTGGCACTGCCCGCTATGCCTCCATCAACACCCACCTGGGCATCGGTGAGTGAGCTGGGCCTGAGCAAGCATGCCGTAGCTGCTGGCCAGGATGAGCCTGTGTCCTACCTGGGTTGGCGACTCCAGGGACTTTCCTGGTGAGCCTCACTGAGAAGATCCCCCACCCTGTCTGGCCCACATATAGACTTGTTCTATATGGACCCCTTCATAAGCAGAGCTGTGTGTATTTTGTCTGCCTTGGCAGTCCCCTTGAGTGGGTGGCCGTTTCCCCATTTGTATATCTGAGAAATACAAGCCCAGAGGTTTAGCATGGCTGTTTAAGGGCATGAATTCCAGAGCTGGATTTGACGGAAGCCCTGTCTCAAACTAGAGTGTGAGCTTTAAGCACAAAACAGGCCAGGCAAGGGGGTGGTGGGTGCCCACACACAGTTGTTGAGTGAAATGATGCCTGGGCTAGAAAAACTGGCTGGAACGGACGAGAAAGCCCTGCCTCGGGCAGTCTAGAGGAGGAGGAGAACGGAGCAGCAGTTACAGTAGTGTCCAGCAGCCAGAGAGCACTGGGGGGGGGCTCAGTGAGAAGTGCAGCCGACTGGCCCCTGACCTGTGGCCCCTGACCTCCTGACCTGTGCAGAGCAAAGCCGTCGAGATGACCTGGAGAGCTTGGGCTATGTGCTGATGTACTTCAACCTGGGCTCCCTGCCCTGGCAGGGTCTCAAAGCCGCCACCAAGCGTCAGAAGTACGAGCGGATCAGTGAGAAGAAGATGTCAACGCCCATTGAGGTCCTCTGCAAAGGCTACCCCTGTGAGTAGCTATCGGGCATGGCCTTTCCTTCTGAGGGCAAGACGGGGGGGGGGGTAGGGGGACGCACTAGAATGTTTATGACTCTCTCACTGGAGTCTTTCTGCCTGGGAGCTAGCTGAGATACCTGAACCCCACACCCGGCTCTTAATACCAGGTGTTCCCAGTCCCCTCTCTTGCCTTATCCCCGAGGTCCACTCTCAGTCCGGTGGTTTGAAGAGGTGGGAGCTGGCTTCTTTTGCCTTAGGTCATAATGGGACTCTGCGTCCCATCAGGCCCTCGAGCAGCCTTTGGGTTTGTGGCGACTGTTGACCTGGTGGCTGTGACCTTAGTGCTTGGCCAGACAGGTGGCCAGCTGTGCACCGAGCTCCGCTTGGAAGCGGGCCTGGCTCTGTTCAGTTTTCATCCTGCCCACCTTAGCCTGGTACTGTTGTGGCAGGGACAGTGGGTGCCTGGCACAGAGGTCGCTGCTGAGGCTCCCGGGACAGTGAGTCTCACCGTAGCCTCTCTGTCCTTGTGATCCACCAGCCGAGTTCTCAACATACCTCAACTTCTGCCGCTCCCTGCGGTTCGATGACAAGCCCGACTACTCCTACCTGCGCCAGCTCTTCCGCAACCTCTTTCACCGGCAGGGTTTCTCCTACGACTACGTCTTCGACTGGAACATGCTCAAATTCGTGAGTCACCGACAGGCCGAGGCGGGCTTGGGGGACTGGACAGGGCAGGCCCTGACTCACAAGGCCAGGGTGACATGGTGGGGGGCGGGGCTCCCGTTAAATGGGAGGTATGAGTTGGACAGTGTGAGTGACCTCGCAGGAGTCCCGGAACCCCTCACCTCCAGCCACTTTGGTACAGATAAGGGCCTCCATCGGGGGCAGGGCCCAGGGAAGGCACCACCACCTGCCGGGTGGGGAAGGATCGGGCCTGGCCTCCAGTCCCTCTTGGGTACTTGTGGTGCGTGGATGGCACTGGCTGGACCCCCCCGCTGCCCTGACAGCTGTCTGCACTTCCCTGCTCCTCCTGTGTATGTCCCAGACCGTGGCCCTTTCTGAGACCTCCACAGCCAGCTTGGACCCGGTCGTAGTGGCTTCTTTGCTCCTGATTCTAGGACCCTGGGTCTTACTTGGCAGCTGTTCTGTCTCCCTCTTTTAAGGGTCCTGGGGGTGGGTTAGGGAGAAGCGTTCGCCAGTCATGACTCAAGCACTGGGATCCGTGAAATTGTCTGTCTTGTCTCACATCTCTTCTGGAAAAGGGGGCTTCCTCGAGCCAGGCTCAGCCCCGAGACAAGGAAGCGCTTGCGTCACCCTGCCCCCGTGCTTGGCCTTGCGCCGGGACCACGTGCTCACCCCCTTACTGGTAAGGACCTTCCAAAGCCTGGCCTTTCCAAGATTGGCAGCTTAGCCAGTGAGCATGAGGGCCTAGCCTCAGCCGTGCTCTCTCTGTCCTTTTCAGGTGCCCGGCGCCCCTGGGCACCCAAGGACCCCCAGATAGGCCGGTGGAGGGGGTGGAGCCACTGCCTCCCCAAAGATACTGGCCTGTGGTCTGGACTCCAGGGCCGCAGTTCTGACACCACCAGGGGTGTCTCAGCCCATCTCAGCCAAGCTTGAGGAAGCACCCTGTGGGATGGCAGGGTGAGACCCTGCTCCAGTGGAGAGGGTGGCAGAGGAGACCCTGCATGGGATTCTCAAGAATGAACCAGCTGCCTGAGGGCTAGAACAAGCCTGAAGAAGGGACAGGGACGCTGCCTGCCAGGGACCTGGTGGCACGTCACAGGACCCTGCCCCACGTCAACCTCATCGTTGGCACCTGTATTGATTGTGAGCTCATTAAATACTTCCCTGCCTCCCTCCTCGTGTGCCTCTTTTCACAGAGTGGCCCTTGGCCTGCTCTGTCCCGTGTCAAGAATGAACATAGGCCTTGTCCTCTGGACACCGAGATGAGCACAATGATTTTGGGTTCCTCTTCCCTCTGGGCCCCAGTCAGTGGCCGGGGCCTATTCTTTAGGGAAGCCGACAGGCCAGGGACCTTGTGGACAAGCCTGTGGCTTTTATCTCTGGGGCTGGAGTGACAAGTGGGCAGTGGGGATCCTTCCAGCTCAGAGCATGTTGGCCAAGGGCTTGGTCGTGGGGCTAGCTCTTCTTGTCAAGGCTTCCAGAGTGTTGGGTGCCAGATGTGTGCTGCAGAAAACCAGCTGAATCCCGTCTGGGAATGGGCTTGTGTCCCTTCTTCTCACTTAAGCTTGGAGAATAGATTTTGTGTCCTCTAGACCAGTGCAGCCCACTCTGTTAGCTTCCGGCCATGTAGTGCTGACTCTCCATCCACTGAAATTATCGGAGATGGACGCTGACTCCTCAGTCATCCACCAGATTGCACTCAGAAAGCCACAAGTGACTGCTACATCCCGCTTGGCAAACGTGAACATTCATCATTCCGGGAGGTTCTATGGACAGCTGATGCAGATGCTTCCTTCACAGTGCGTGCCCTCTGCGTGGCTGGCCGGCTGAAGAAATTTCAAACTTGGTCAGATGCGCCCTCCCTCCCTATTGCTGGTGCCCTGATCCCCTCCTTGGAGTCATCTTGGAGGGAGACTCTAGAGGTCAAAGGGCAGCCTTTGCCTCCACCATGTGTGACCCTATCACCACATGGCCAGCTCCATTACCAAGAACATTTACAGAACGCACATCAGAAACTTTTACAGCCGTCACTCCAAGACCAGCCCTTCCTACCTGCCCTGCAGTAAGCAAGCTACCGCCAGTGCTCTGCAGACAGGGCTCCAGGAGCAACAGACTGCAAAGATCCACCTGACCTTGGAGTGACCTTGCGTGTTCCACCCCAGGGAACTGGAATCCCTAGATGCTTGAATCCTGGGATGTCTCTGAGAACACAGCCACTCTTCTAGCCAGGAGGAGACGCCACGCAGCCAAGGACAGAGGTCCGCACGGTAGAGCCAGACACTTGTGTGACTTTGACACTGACTGTTTCCTTGTGGGCAAATAAAGACCATGAAAACTCTCTGGTGTGCGTCTCCTGATGCGTCCTTCACGTTGGGTAGATGGAAGCAGGTTGAGGGACCAGGTCTGGCCTGAGCCTGCTGGAAGTGCTGAGACCCCAGCCATCCATCTGGCCATTGATGGCGGGGCTCTGTGCCCCTGGGTGAAGCTCTTAGCCTCACTAAGCCTCAGTTTCTCATTTAGCAAGGAGCTGAAATCATTGCTGCCGCAGGAGGGACGTAGAGTGCAACAGCCCTTGTTTCTCTCAGGTCGGACTGTGTTGGGCTGAACCAGGCAGCCAGTGAGGGGTGGAACTCTAGCAGTCCTAAGTCCTGGTTTGAGTGAAGGACTAGGAATGTCCAAGGCAGGTCTCTGAAGGGGACCCTTTTGTGGGACAGAGTGGACTCAGTGGCCAGACCATGTTTAGCCACAGCTTTGTACTGGCTGTGACTCCAGCCAGGTCACGAGGCCTCTAATCAGGCCCAGTAGGGACAAAACAATGTCAGCGCTTCCACTTCATAGGGGGCCCCAGAGCAATGCGGGTGACATGGGGGATGTGTCTGCTGGACTCGGGGATCATTCTGAATGAAGCCACTCCCTCCAGGGGTCCCTGAAGAAGCTCCCTCCCCGTTCCCAGAGCTTTGGACTTTTTAGTACCTATAAAGACATGGGTTTGCAGAGCCCATACCCCGTGAGCAGGCTCCCATTTCAGCCTGTAGCTCTCTCCTCCACAGATGCGGCCCCCCTCCCGCCAGCCCCCTGTCCTTCCCTGTGGACGGCCTCAGGACCAGCTAGGTAACTCAGCCAGGCACTGCTCCTACTCTGTGTTTCTTTCTGGTCCTTTCTCCCTCCCTCTTGTACTTGGGGTAGCAGCTTAGAGGACAGACCCTTGGGACTCCAGGCAGCTTCTCTAGCTTTGCCTGAGGGGTCTTTGCATTTAGCCTTCTTTTGTCCCCTGGGCTTCCAGGCAACGGCATTTATGGGATCCCCTAGGTAGGAGTAATGGCCAGGTCTGGGAGCAGGGATTGGCCCTGTGATTGGGTACCAGGGGACCTTGGGACAGTCCTGGCTCTGCTTTCATTGGAGTTACGACTCTGAACCTGCCCTTTCTTCTCTAGCTATGGCCTGTCGGTCAGCTAGTTGGGCTTCTGAACGCCCTTCCTGCTTGGTTGGGAATGCAGGGAAGGACCAAGAGGTACTCTTGGTCACCCTGGAGATATCAGCCTGGCCCAGCTGAGGTCTCTAGCAGCTTCCTCTTCCAGGTGTTGGGTGTCTTGGCCCCTGTGCACTGCGGTAGGGGGCAAGCTCTGGCCTTCTGAGAGAATGGGAGGGAAGGTGGAATTGGTTTTTCTGAGCTTTCCACATACGTCTTCTCCTGCTCTGTCCTGCTAGGGTTAGGGTGCAGTACAGCGTCCTCACAGGACTGACTCTTCTCATGTTCATACAGGGTGCAGCCCGGAATCCCGAGGACGTAGACCGGGAGCGACGAGAACACGAACGGGAAGAGAGGATGGGGCAGTTGCGGGGGTCCGCGACCAGAGCCCTGCCCCCTGGCCCACCCACAGGGGCTACTGCCAATCGACTCCGCAGTGCAGCCGAGCCTGTGGCTTCCACGCCTGCCTCTCGAATCCAGCAAGCTGGTCAGTAGGGGCCTTGAGCCTCGGGCTGGGCCCAGGGAGGGCTAGGGGACTGCTTGTGCCCACACTGAGGGTGGCTGCTGCCCTCCCTCCAGGCAATACTTCTCCCAGAGCGATCTCACGGGCCGACCGGGAGAGGAAGGTGAGCATGCGACTCCACAGAGGCGCACCTGCCAACGTCTCCTCCTCAGACCTCACTGGGCGGCAAGAGGTCTCCCGGATTTCAGCCTCACAGGTGAGCTTCCTGTTGGTGAGCCTCTCCGGGACATAGAGGGCCTAGCTGTTCCTGGTGTTGGCATGACCTTGTGGTGTCCCGTCCGTCCGTCCGTCGTGTGTGTGTGTGTGTGTGTGTGTGTGTGTGTCCCGTGCCTTTACTCTCATCACCCTGGAGTTAATTAGCTCTTCTTCCTCGAGCAAAGTGAGAAACTAAGGCTCAGATGAATACCTTACCATTGGGACCCAGTCTGGTGGGTGACAGGGGCCTCAGAAACAAATCCTTGCACTCCCTGCTATGAGGAAGCCCTCAGTAGTTCCCATCAGTACTGGTCACAGCAAGGATGCCGGAGGAAGGCACGGGGGTGGGGGGGTGTTCCTGTCAGGTGACCCCATTTAGAGACCACGTTGACTCAGAATGTAGGGGAAGGGCCTTGGCAGAGGTAGTTCTACCCATCCTACCTGTGGATGAGCCTCTGCAGACCCAGACCTGGGGTTGAACCATCCTTGGCCTCCAATTTGGGTGTGGCCTGCATCCAACCCTTTGCTATCTGGAGTACTCCAGGCTATAAAGCCAGGGACCCCGGGCGGTGGTGGCACACCCCTTTAATCCCAGCACTCTGGAGGCAGAGGCAGGGGGGATCTCTGAGTTCAAGGCCAGCCTGGTCTACAAAGCTACACTGAGAAACCCTGTCTCAAACAAACAAACAAAAACAACCACCAAAAAAAAAAAAAAAAAGCCAAGGGCAGCCTCCGGCCCCTGAGGTCTCACAGCCTGCCTTCAGATTGAATGCTGTGGATGGAGCCCAAGGTAGGGGTGGGCAGATTTGGGAAATCACTTTAGCCAGCTGCTTAAGGGCTTGACCTGATTCTCCCCCCTTATCTCTCTGGCCCTTCTTGAAGACAAGCGTGCCATTTGACCATCTCGGGAAATGAGGAGAGCCACCACCGACCAGTGTTTGCTTAGGTGAGTGCTGGCATCTGCTATGGGGTGGGGGGGAGGGAAACAATGGTACGTGGACCGGAGGAAGTGACAAGTGGCACCGTGGGCCACCCTTCCTGCCTTCCAGACTGTGGCTTCCTACAGACAGTCCTGAACCTGGATGCTCTAGCTTCTAGGAAATCCTTTTCTTACAGACAGTCCTGAACCTGGATGCTCTAGCTTCTAGGAAACCCTTTTCCAGCCCTTGGTTCATCTGTTGTTGTAGCTCCTAGGAGAGACCAGGGCACCGGCCACAAGTGGACTTCCCAGGCTTCAGCCTAATTTTGCTGTTATATAAGCTAATTTGTGCAAAGCCATAAAGAGGTCAGAATGTAGAAAGGACCTTGGTGCTTTTATACCCAGGAAAGGCCCTCTGACCGACCAAGGTGAGCTAGGGTTGGAATGCCTGAGGCTTGGGAGGCAGTAAGTAGTGAAATATCCATTAGCCTGGTTTGGAGGAAGGGGCCCCAGGCTCTTCTGGTACGTATTGACTCGGCTCCCTGGGGAAAGGGGATGTCAGCAGGCAGTGGCTCACCCACTAAGGGTCTGGCTTCACAGCAGGTTACCCGAGACAGAATTCACACTGTAGAAATTGTCCCGCACACAGCTAGTCTGCTCAGGCCGAGAGGTGGCTGGGGTGACTGCTTAGCCCACCAAGGCAGAGCAGCAGTTGGTTCCCCCTCTGGAGTGATGGAGCACGGTGTGCTGGGTGAAACCAGACTCTGGGCTCCGGTGGGACGAGGAAGGGGTCTGGTGGCTGGTGGACTAAAGCAGCAGGCCCCTGACCATTGTCTTTGTTCCTCTCCTAGTGTCTTCACTGCATTTTCTTAACGAAACAAAACAAAATAAAGGACAGAAAGAAAGAACCAACCACTCAAGTGAACAAAAAGGAAAAAAAAACCACACACAACCCAGCACAGAGTCAACAATGGATTTTGTTTCTTTGATTTATTTTTCCAATGGCAAAAAAGACAAGATTGTCCTTATCACTGAGGATTCCTGTCCCCTCACCTTGCCCACTGCTCCCCACCGAAGGCTGCCAACACTCCTCTAGTGGCATTGGGTCATACGCTAGCCCCCGTTGCCGCCTGGCGGCCACCCACCACATACCGGGCAGCCGATGGAGGCGCCTGAAGAGCTTGCGTCAGGGAGTGGTTTGCCAGTCACAGACAAGTCCCATGAGGTTTTGTGAGCCTCGGATCCAAGGAGACACGCACGCACAGCTGCAGCCCCTCGGCAGCGACAGAGGCCAGCTTTGTATTGGGCGTTCCCAGAGTCCCCCTGAGCATCCTGGTCCCCCTTTCCCCCCTCCCGTCACCTCTATGCAGGGACCTTGAGGGGGCGGTGAGGTGGTGGCCATGATGCCTTGTGCATGTGTGAGTGTGTGACTGTGTGGCAGTGTGAATGTGTGTGTGTGTGACCTGTATTTTCCAGAGCAGCAGGTGACCTGCCATCTTACCTGGCCAAGTTTCTGTTCTTGTCCCCATGAAGTCAAGGTGGGGTGGACAATGACCTCCACATCCCTCAGGGCTTAGAGTCCTTGCCACCACCTGTTCTCAGATGCCAGTGTGTGGCAACCCCATCTTTCTTCCATACCTGATCCTAAGGCAAGTTCACAGAGTCTGTTCCCAGATGGCATCGGCTCTGACTTACCATGTAGTTCCCTGGTCCTGACAGTCACCTGTGGTCACCCCTCTCCTAGGGCCTGATTCTTGAGTAGGACCCTGGGTCAGGGTTAAGTTTTGAATTTACCCTTCCTGGTTAACACCTGGTTTTTAATTTTATTTTTGTTTGTTTTCTCGGTGTGTGTATTTCCTAATTTATTTACCTCTTTTTCCCTTTTTTTTTAATTAAAGAGCAAAACTTTTTATTACTTTGTAATTTAAAAAACTGAAAAAAAATTACTGAAGAACTTTGGGGGGAATTTTGTACTTTTTTCCTGTGTAAATACTGGACTTTTTTGAGCTTTATCGTGGTTGTTAATTTGAAGTAATAAAGTAGAAAAGGACAAAGTGATGTAGGCCACCCCTTGTCCACACCTCTTTGCTCTTGGGGTCTCTGCTTGGGACAGCACATCAGAAGGGACCGGCAGCTGTCGCCAGGGCCCGTGTGACCTGTTGTCGTGTGGTACATCCAGGGGGCACTCAGGGGGCCGAGGCAGGCAGAGCTTTGAGGTTGAGGCCAGCCTGGTCTACAGAGTTCCGGGCTAGCCAGGACTTCATAGTGAGATCTTGAAGATAATTAAATATATAGAGAGAGTAAATAGTTTAAAAAATGGATATTTCCTTGTCCTAAGGCTGTATCTGGGTGTGCTGTCAGTGCAGAGCTCAAACGTGACTTGAAAACATCCATCGTGTGGCTGTCTCATCAATTTTAATGAGTTAGTGCTCCACCCCCCAATTTGGCTTAATTTATCCAGAGGTGAAATGTTTATATATATGAAAGTCACGCTATTAAACAACAACCATAATCAAGGTGTGCTGTGGTGACAAGTGCCGGGTGGTATGAGCCTGGGGTGGCTCATGGGGAGACCCTGTGTCCCCAAAACAAAAGCTACAACAGTTACAACAGAGCCAGCCCTGTCTGAGCCACCCTCCTCTTCCCCAACCTTGTCACCCACTCCTCTGTGGGTGTTCCAGGGAAGGGACATAAGGTGAGGCCAGAGGCCACATCAACCGTACAGTTAATTGAACAGGACAAACAAAGACCGGGAAGTTTTACTCAGACTGAGGGCAGCCATGGCACCTGGTGAGTCATTGTCACTCATGCGGCAAACATAAAGGTGGGGCTCAGAGGTGTGCTGGGCACAGGCGGAGCAGGGTGCCCAGAGAGGAATTGCAGAGAGCCAGGTGGCCCACTCTGTATCCCCGGACACCATCTCAGATGCCGCTTGTAGAGGGTGAGGTTGATGATGTCCACTTCCAAGAACTGTCAGGACTAAAAGTCTACGTGGATACAAGGCTAACTTCACGGAGGGCGCCTGTGCTGAGCCATGACACCCTGCAAGGCTTTGGTTTTTCGAGACAGGGTTTCTCTCTATTGCTTGGAGGCTGTCCTGGAACTCACTCTGTAGACCAGGCTGGCCTCGAACTCATAGAGATCTACCTGCCTCTGCCTCCTGAGTGCTGGGGTTAAAGGCATGCGCCACCAATGCCTGGCTCATAATCTCCATGTTGTGGATGTCTGCCTTGTTGCCTGGCAACACAACTAAAAATTCTTGCTCCACAAACCCAATCTCTGAACCTTTATTGTAGCCAGGCACCTGCACATGCTTGTCAAGGGGAGACTCAGGTGAAGAAGCAGTTCATCCCACACTACACTAGAACACGCTCCTGCCCAGAATGCTTGAGGCCCAGGGTTCCTTCGACAGCATAAGGATCCGTGAGTGGGCTAGGTGGTGGTGGCACACACCTTTAAGCAGGACCCAAGGAAGAAGGAAAAATGTGGTACAGAGGAGGTGTTAACGGAGACGCTCACCCTGGGCCTGGAAATGGAGGTACAAGTTTGCCAGTGTTGAGTGGGAGAGCATTGTTCCCAGCAGGGGAAAAGCGTGGAAAAGAGGCCTAGAGGTCTAGTCTCACTAGACACTGGGGGTGGGTGGGAGGAGTTACGAAATCACAGCTGATGAGGAGGCTGAGGTCACTATGCAGATGTGGACCTGAACCCGGAAGACTCTTCCACTTCCTGCTGTCTGCAAGCAGATCATCTTTAAAAACAAAATAAAAGGAGTGTGGCATAGTAGTGGTGGTCTGTGTGTGTGTGTGTGCGTGCGTGTATGCGCGTGTGTGTGCGCGTGTGTGTGTGCGCGCGCGCGTGCACGCTCACAAATTCAAGCAAATGTGCAAGCTGTTAGCGTGCATGCAAGTCTGAACTCTGTGGAGGCCAGAGGTTGGTGTTGAGTGTCTTCCTCTATTGCTCTCTATTTTCTGAGAGAGCCTGTCACTCTCTGGATGGCTAGACTGACTCTGTCTCCACTTGCCCTGACCTGGCGCTATAGGTGTGTGCTGCCAGAGCTGGCTTAAAATGGGTGACCGGCGTGGAACTCAGCTCTTCACCTTCTGGCAAGAGGCACCATTGACAGCCATCTCCTCCAACCCCTTTTCTCTTTAAATTCTTTCTTTCAAACTAATGTATATATTGGTTTGTATGCAGGAGCCCATGGGGGCCAGAAAGAGTGTTGGATACCTGGGAGCTGAGTTACAGTGTGAGCACCTTGGTGTGGGTGCTGGGAACCTAAATCCAGTCTTCTGCACACCCCCTTCTTTCTCTTCCTTCCCTTTCCTCCTCCTCCCTCCCTCCCTCCCTCCCTCCCTTTGTTTTTTTGAGACAGTGTCTCACCATTTGTTTCCTGTTTTGTTTGTTTTGGTTCTTTGAGACAGGGTATCTCTGTATAACCTCCCCGGCCATCCTGAACACTCTCTGTAGACCAGGCTGGCCTCGAACTCACAGAGACCCTCCTGTCACTGGCTTCCCAGTGCTGGGGCTAAAGGTGTGCCCCGCCATGGTCCAGCAGAGACGGTGTCTCACTCTGTAGTTGAGTGTAGCCTTTAAGGCACTGCAACCCTGTCTTAGCTAAGACCACACGCACGAGCGGCCATCCCCACGAGCGGCCATCTTTCCTGAGACCTGGCTTCCTCATCTATAAAGGGATCTCAAGCTCCTTGGATGCTGCCATCTTCCTTTGCTTGGCCCCCTCTCCTGACTTTGCCATCAGCTCCTCTGTGAGTTGGAACAGACGTGATGGATGTTTATTTGAGGGCAGTTGTGGGCAGGGAGACTTTTATGGTCACCACCTAGGTAGGAGGCAAGGATGCTTGAACTGCCAGGGCTGCGTTTCTGGAGGATATGAGAGCATAGAGGGAAAGCCAGGAGGTGGGTGGGGCTCTGACGAAGGGGCAGAGCATCCAGGAGGCACCTGGAGTAAAGATGGTGGTCAGGGGCTTCAAGTAGCATTGAGTCTGGTAGAGAAGTTTCCATCGACCAGATTCTTTTTAGTGTTCTTTAAAAAATATGTTTTTGCTGGTTAGTGATGTCTTTGATGCTGGCACTCAGGAGGCAGAAGCAGGCAGATCTCCATGAGTCCGAGGCCAGCCTGGTCTACAGAGTGAGTTTCAGGACAGCCAGGACTGTTACACAGAGAAACCCTGTGTGTGTGTGTGTGTGTGTGTGTGTGTGTGTGTGTGTGTGTGTGTGTAAGTTAAGTGTATTTCACATGTGTATGCAGGTACCCTCAGAGGTCAGAAGAAGGTGTCAGATCCCCTGAAGCTGGAGAGAACACTGAGAACCAACCTCAGGTTCTCTGGAAGAACAGAATACACTCTTACCCACTGAGCCATCTGTCCAGCCACACGACTCCTTTATTCTCTTGAGAGGGTCTCACACAGCTGTGTGTCCATACACTGCAGGCTGGTGGGATGGGATGCCATCCCAGTTTTGTACATTGCCTTCCACACAGGCTGGCCATGTTCGGCAAACAGCGGTTGTGATAATGTTACAGATTCATCCCTGGGGCTGCAGGGAGGAACACTGGCCCTTTAAGGAGGTCTCAGTGGAATCCCCTTCCATTGTGCCAGTAGGCAGCAGCCTGACTCCTCCCTGCCCTTTGGAGAATGCTCCTAGGTAATTATACCCCGGCTTCTCATCAAAGCACCTGTGATTCTGGTGAGCCCCACCCTTGCCTTTGAAGTCAAATCATTCAGGTTTACCCTGGGCAGGCAGAGGCAACTCTAGACTTGGGACACCCAGGCCTCCAGGACTAGTCCCTCAGCTCCTAGCATGGCCCTGGCCTATCGGGGGGACTTCTCCAGTATTAGTTGCTTTTCTTCCTGTTGTGGCAAAATACCAGACACAGCCTAAGGAAGGAAAAGGTTGGCCATACTGTGGCCACAGTCAGGAAGCCAGGAGAGATGAGTGCTGGCACTCAGCTTGCTGGCTCCTCTGTCAGCCGGTAGGCCAGTGCTGCCCTCTTCAGTCGAAGCTTTCTAGAGGCGTGCTGGGAGGTGTCTAGAAACACACCCCGAGGTTCTGAGTCCCTTCCTGCTGATGAGCTATCAGCTTCCTTTCCTACGGGCTGTCTGTATCGCCCCATCTCAGCGGCTGCAGCCTGGGCTGTCTGTGTTTCTCCATATCAGCGGCTGCAGCCTGGGCTTGTATAAAGGTCAGACCCTGGATCTGCTCCCGTTAGCATGCCTGTGGGTGCTGACTGCTTTTGCAGAGGCCTTCACCTCTCTCTCCAACACTAGAGGGACAGGCATGGGTGCAGCTGGGAGACCCCAAGCAAGCAGAGCTCTCTGGGTCTCCAACATAGGTTCACATCCCTGACTCACTCACACATCCCTCGATGTTCCCCCAGAAGCAGCCTTGTTCTTCCTAATGACCATCTGTGTCCTAGGTGTCACCACTTCAACAGGAAGGGTAGCCTGGGTGTTCTCTTGTTGGTTGGTCACCACCTCAGGTGGTGGGAAAGTGTCCTAGATTTATTTCACAATTAGCCATTGTGTGTGTGTGAGAGAGAGAGAGAGAGAGAGAGAGAGAGAGAGAGAGAGAGAGAGAGAGAGAGAGAGAGAGAGAGAGAGCACTCAGGGTGGCTTTTGCCAAGTAGCACTGAGTCCTTGTGCCTCGATTTTCTCATTTGCTATTAGCAAAGCCCTGTGAGTTTGTGACTCTGGGGGATCTGATGTCTTCTTTTGAGTTCGGGCCCCAGCAGTCACAAATGGTGCCTTGCAGCTGCCTGGAACTATACAGCTCCAGCGGATCAGACCCTTGTGGCCTCTGCAGGTACTGCACATACCCACACAGAGATGCATGCACACAATACACATAATTTTTAAAATAAGTCAAAAAGACTATTTGTCATCTGGGCGGTTGTAGCTGGAAGTTTTTCTCTGTCTCACAGGTCCCACTGGACTGGCTTCTCTCCTGCCTCATGGTCCCCGCAGCAGACACTTATTTTTGTTGTTTGTCTGTCTGTTTGTTTGCAGACAAGGTCTCTCTGTGTAGCTCTGGCTGTCCTGGAA